CACACGCACACACAGCACACACACGCGCATACACAGCACACACACACACACAGCACACACACACACACAGCACACACACGCACACACACACACCACACACACACACACACAGCACACACGCGCACACAGCACACACACACACACACGCATACACACGCACACACACACACGCACAACACACACACACGCGCATACACACACACAGCACACACGCGCACACAGCACACACACACACACGCATACACACACACACAGCACACACACGCACACACACACCACACACACACACACACAGCACACACGCGCACACAGCACACACACACACACACGCATACACACGCACACACACACACACACAGCACACACACACCACACACACACACACACACACACAGCACACACACACACACACACACACACACAGCACACACACGCACACACACACACACACAGCACACACACACACACAGCACACACACACACACACAGCACACACGTGCACACACACGCATACACAGCACACACACACAGCACACACACACACACGCATACACACACACACGCGCACACACGCATACACACACGCATACACAGCACACACACACACACACACACACACATACACAGCACACACGCGCACACACACACGCATACACAGCACACACACACAGCACACACACACACACGCATACACACACACACACACACACGCGCGCACACACACACACACACACAGCACACACCACACACACACGCATACACAGCACACACACACACACACACGCATACACACACACACGCGCATACACAGCACACACACAGCACACACACACACACAGCACACACACACAGCACACACACACAGCACACACGTGCACACACACACACACGCATACACAGCACACACACACACACACACGCATACACAGCACACACACACACACACACACACGCATACACAGCACACACGCATACACAGCACACACACGCGCACACACACAGCACACACACACACGCATACACAGCATACACACAGCACACACACACACACACACACACACACACACACACACACACACAGATCAGATTAGTTACCGTGTTAATCCATCAGGGCAGCGTCAGTGAGAACAAACAAATCAACAGTTAGTAGCAGAAAGACCATCATCATCTTGAACGGCTCCAGATTGGTTCCCTGCACTGGTCCAACTGGTGTTCCTAGTGGTTTCTGTTTCAGCTTCTCAGATCCAGTGCAACATCTAAAACCAGGGGCTCTAACCAGCAACTTATTGCCAGAAGTCTGAAACTGGATCATAAAGTCCTGGTACCAGTCAACCCATGGGCCAGTACTGGCAGGATCCCTGTTGTTTTAAGGAGGACCCAACATTTGGTTGTAACAACAGACTTTTCTTGAGAAACATTTATTTCAGAAGTGAATCCAATATCACACAGGTACTGCCATGTTGCTTAAGATCCTGGCAACACGTTAGCACCTACCAACAGTGTTTGGTTCTGCCGATGGCTTTACTCATGCTAAAGCTGTTAGCTCTAGTAGTTAATGTAGTAAATGTAGCTGGTTTCAGCAAAAGTTTTGCGTATAACTTTGAGGCAGTTTGTCTCCCTCCAAATGTTCGCCCCCCTCCCCCTCCCGCCTCCAACAACTGAACCTCTTGTGTTTATAGAGCCGCGTCTGGCAGAACCTACTCAAATTATTGGCCCAGAATGCATTGCATAGGCGGAAAAATTGGGCCCTCAGTAGGTGAAAAATATAGTAAAAATATACAATTTGTTCGTATCACAAACTTCTTTTGGGTAAATAGAACAATTGCACCATAATTAAACAAAAACTATGGACGGAGTGAGGAGTTCTGGGCCTGTTACCTGGAGAGAAGGTGGAGCTAAATGTCTTCAACTGAAACACAACAACCAGAAGAGCTACTTGGTAAAAGTGAAACATTACAACAGTGGTTCTTCAGCAGAGCCTCTGCTGGACGTAAAGACGCTATTTAAACATGTCGAGCAAAAGCAGGAAGTGGTCGGACGAATATGTACACATGGATGGATGTGTATCAGGGAACGCGATGGAGTCAGAGCCCCATCTGCATGATGAGCAACTCCAAGTTGAGCAACTCCAAGTTGAGCAACTCCAGTCTCCCCGGCAACACTGAGGAAACACTTCTTGAAGCTGCGTGGAGACGGGAAAGTAAAAAGTATTTTGTGGATTCAAAACCACAAAAAACAAAAACAAGTTGGCTTCAAAGTTTTAAAATTAAAATGTCCAATTCTTTAAAAACTCAAATATATTTTAATCAGTAAAAAAGCAAAAAAGGATTTCTGGGGGCCGAAATATTTTTTATGGTTTTGTTCTTTGAGCAAGGTGATGTTCTGCACGGCTCATTTTGTGCACCAAAAAGCAAATATCTATGTCCTGAACTTGGCAAATAATCCTATTTTATTGATCTCTAAGAAGGGTTCAGAGAATGAAAAGTCAAAGGTTAAGAACCTCTGGGTTAGAAACGGACAAACTGCCACGCTCAGCATGCTGGAGTTTTGTCTCAGAGTGAAGCATCTCTCCATTAAGGGATCTCAGAAACTGATGGCGATTCAGGAGCTGCTTCAGGGTGTAGAAGGTTAGCTCCGGGTGTCTCCACGACCTCTGACCTCTGTTCTGCAGGTTGCCCTACAATCAGTACTTTGGAGGCGTTTCGTCGATGAGCAAAGCGCAGTACCTGAAGATCAACGGCTTCCCCAACAACTACTGGGGCTGGGGCGCGAGGATGATGACATCTACAACAGGTAGGCTCAGAACCAGAGTGGAGAACCAAACTCTACTCTGAGTAAAGTCAGAACCAGAACCACAGCTCTACCGGTTCTGCTTCCAGGCTGGCCTCCAAAGGGATGAGCATCTCCAGAGCCAGCGGAGAGGTGGGGAGGTGCCGCATGATCCGACACAACCGGGACAAGAAGAACGAGCCCAACCCGCAAGGTAGCGCCCCCTGTTGGTTCTGGTTCTCTGGGAACCGAACTGTATGCGGTTCTGGGCTCACGGTACTGCTGGTTCCGGTTCCAGGTTCGACCGGATCGCCCACACCCGCGAGACGATGCACAAAGACGGGATCAACTCTCTGACCTACAGCCTGGTCCGGGTGGAGAAGCTGGACCTGTTCACCAAGATCACAGTGGATGTGGGGAAACCCTGAGTGGGCCGGAACCGGGTCGGGAACTGGGCCGGGAGCCGGGCCCATGCGCCGTCTCTGACACTTGAAGCTTTAAATTGTGGTTCTGGTTCTGTGGGCCGGGCCTGCTGTACTCATCTCATTGTTGCACAAACAGACTGAATGTTAAATTTTTCCTGCCTTGAGAAATCTTCTGATTGGTCAACGGGAGCCAATCAAACGCTGCTGCAGCACATCTTGAAAAAGGCTCTTTGAAAATCTTACTGGGTTCTGGATGATCGTTAGCTTTTTTGTCCAATCAGATGAGAGCTCAGTGATGCAGCTCTTCTCTGATTGGATTAGTCTAGGGCGGGGCTAAAAGCCGACAATCTGATTGGTCAAGCTTTTCTGACAGAACAGTTCTGTTGGACCCAGGAGGTTCTGCTTGGTGACTAAAGGCTGAAAGTTCTGGTTCAAAACCAGCCGAACAAGAACCCGAAGCAGGTACCAAAGAACCGAGTTCTGGAGTTCGTCACTTGGCTCTGCTCTTCACTCTGGAACCAAACAGAACCAGATCTGGTTTCATTTGGACCAAACGTTCTGGGAGAACCTGGTGTTTCTGTTACTGGACCGGACCAAACCTGAACAGACCTCGCCTCTCAAATTGGGTCTGGTTTTTATTAGAATAACTGATTAGATTGAGAACCTGGTCCAAACTCCAGGTGGATGTGTGATGGATTGTCAGGTCTCATCTGGACCAGAACCGGGTCCGTTCTTCAGTGTGTGATTAGCAGATCTGATGATTGATTTAGACTGAGGCTCCTTCTTGCAGCTGTTGGTACCAAAGAACTTATCGATCATGTGGACCGGGTCGTCTGGACCGGACCGCACCGGACCGGGTCGTCTGGACCGGACCGGTCGATCATTGTGAATGTGTCTCTGCTTCTGCTTCTGTTTCCTGTCTGCAGACCAAACTGTGCGGAACAATCACCTGTAATGTGGCTTAAACTGGGTCAGAACCAGAATGTTGATTAAATTCAAAGTGAATTCTGAGTGTTTCTCATTCTTCAGCAGCGTCCTACAGAGGCCAGCAGGGGGCGACAGTCATAGCAACTGGACCGGTTCTGTTCATGTGGGTCGGGTTCTGGGGTCAAATGAGGAACTGATGAAATGAAAAAATAGGACAAATATGAATAACAAACAATATTTAATATTATTTTTAAATATATTTTGAAAAGGATTAAGATGAATTTATATTTTTCAGGTTAGTTCAATAACTAACATTTAAATACACAATATTTTTTGGTTTTGTTAACTTTTTTTCTGTCTCCTGTTACACATTTATGCCTCATTATGCAAATGAGGGGTGGAGTTTGAGGGCATCACCTTTTGCTGATTGTTTGGTTTAGTGGAAAACCAAAACAAAAGCAGTTAATAAAGACACTTCCAAAGAGGAACTTTTTTTTTTTTTTTTATAAATGAATTTGATGTTTTTTTAGTTCCAGGAATTTTAGTAAATATGTTTTGCTATTCACATTTTCAGTTTTGCTTTTTGTCTCTGTTTTCTTTATGTTTTTATTTTGATCCTTTATCCATTTTCTGTTTCCAAAACTCACAAAAAGCAGAAAAACAGAAATAACTGGTGCATAAAAATGCATTGATTTATTAATTTGGTTTATATATTTTCTGATTTTTAATTTTGTCAGTTTTGGTGCAGGTTCTGTTGGTTCCCCTGCTGATGCAGTCGGGTCTGGTTCCGAGGAGTTTCCAGAACCGGGTCAACATCTGCACTGCAGCTCATTTTCATTAATTTTATCCGTCGAGAAATGAGCCGCTGAGGTTTATAGATAAAAATAAATCAATTTATTAGAGATATTTCAAAACAAACCAGCCCGGGCTTTTTCAGCTGCTGGTCTCCCTGGTAACGAGTCAAGTGACCAGAACCGGGTCGTGTGACCAGCTCAGACCGAAGCTGGGTTCCTAGCAGAACTTCAGCTGCAGATGTTTGTCTCTGTCGCCATGGATACGAGTCACACGGTTCTGATCCAAACACGATGAGAGTCGGCTCTTCCTGCGGCTCCGAGCCAATCAGAACGCCCCCTGCTGGAGGCGCCGGAACAGCTGCTGGCGCTGCGCCGCCGTCATGGCGTCGCAGCTCTGCAGCAGGTTGGCCAGAACCAGAGTCTGCTGGACGGCGCCGGCCCGGACCCAGACCCGGCCGTTCATCCCCACCGTCAGCTCGCAGGGGAACAGCTGCTCCAGGTCGGCCCGGAGGTCGCTGCGGGGAGCCAGGAGCCTGCGGAGAGCAGGGCCCGAGTCAGCGGAACCGGAACTCACAGCTCCTTAAGACTGCTGAGTGACCCGTAAGAACCGGGCCGGGATCTCAGGTGAGTTACCTTCGGACCAGGCCCAGAGACACCTTGATGAGCAGCCCTCCAGTTCCTAACACGCCCCCCGTTGGCTCGGCCCGACCCGTCGATGCAGACCAGCTCCGGCTCCATGTCCTTATTGGCCACGACCAACTGGGCCAGCAGCAGATCGCCCACCTGGCCGGGGAGAGAGAGGAGGTTCAGTCCACCGGACCGGACCGGACCCGGCTCTGTTTCCTTCTGCAGCATCTGTTAGAAACCACCAGCAGGGGGCAACAGAGAGGAAACCTCCCTGGTAACAGAATCTTTGACCTTTGACAGGGACGTCTCACCTGGACGTTGGGTCGATTTCTCTTGGTGGCGCCCTCAAAGGCCAGGAAGGACAGAGATGCCAACTCACTTCCTCCTATGTCCACTTTGAAAACGTCGCCGGACTTTGTTGTGACAATGCCAATCACCGTCTCTCCTTTGGCTGGGACATACTGGGGACAGAACGGGGACAGAGTGAGGACATACTGGGGACAGAGTGAGGACATACTGGGGACAGAACGGGGACAGAGTGAGGACATACTGGGGACAGAGTGAGGACATACTGGGGACAGAACGGGGACATACTGGGGACAGAGTGAGGACATACCGGGGACAGAGTGAGGACATACTGGGGACAGAGTGAGGACATACCGGGGACATTTTTAAAAGTAAAAATGAAACTAAACCAAAAATTCTTTTGAAAAACTAAAATTGAGAAAATGCTAAAATTAACGAAAATAATTAATTATAATAAAAAACAATGAAAAGTAACAGAATTCTGTACACAGGGTTGGGGGAAAGTCGAGCTCTATCACGTGACAATTGTTACGGTTCTTGTATTAACGCGATAACTTCATGCCAGGAAGTGGCGGTTTTATGCTCGGCTAGCGCCAGGGCTAAAAGGAGTACTTGGTCATGTTTGGTCTAAAACACGGAAATACTGATGGTGCATTGGCCGAAAGCATTAGGCGCATGCGCACTCCGAGCAGGATAACCGAACCGGACCCGGTCCTCCGGCTGTGGCCGCGTTACTGACCGACTCTGGATCGAAGCTGAATGGCTGAATTGTAGCTTCTGATTCTGAAAATGGCTACAGGGCGATTATAACGGAGGCTCGGATGTATTTACTCAACATTTTCTGTCCAGCTGAATAACTGCAACGGCTGTTCGAAACCAAGCAACCGAAATCTACGGGGTCTCCGGGTTACCCTATGACAGAACTAGATCCTGTTAATCTTCAAAATAAAAGACTATCTCTCCAAAATAAATCATTCTTTGCACTTAAATTCGGTGAGTAATAATAATCATGTAAATTGTGCTTAACATATGACTGTAAATAAGTAACTAATCATGGAAATGATACTTAACATATATAAGTATCAAGTGTTAAAAAATCATCTGTTCAGCTTTAAAAGCGAACATACATCGACTCTTCAAATCCAGACTACGCAACCTGAGACTAAACGCTGTTTCGATCAGAACTCGGTTTTACTTCTATCTGATTTTACCTTCAAAATGATTCATTTCTTTGGGTTAATGGCTCAGAATAACCCCGAATACTTTCTGTACTTCTGGTGAGTCGGGACAAGAATTCGGATGTAGGTTCGGAGCGGACTGGACTCACCCTCCTCTGCTGGGACTCGATCCAGAATTTGTTGGGCTCTTTGTGTCTCAGCACGCCGCTCCGGCTCACCAACAGACGGTCACCGCTCCGCCGCAGCCCCGGCCCGGCCACCAGCCGTCCTGCCTTCCCGCTGTCCGTAAGAGGGAGGGTGTCTTGGGGGCCGCAGCAGAACTCATCTCCGGGAAGCAGAATCTCCCCGACCCGCTCCTTCAGAACCGAGAACATCCTCACAGACCTCCGTGCAGCTTACCAGGGAATATCACGGAAACCCAAATAGCAGCCGCAGCGCCCTCTACCGCCCCGGAGGATCATGCCTGGGCATGAGCAGCTGATTCTCATCAGCTCAGGAATCAAAGCATGTCGTTTCGAGACGATTAAAATAAGGAATAAAACTAAATAACCTACAATAGATCAGTTGTTATAACGACCATAATCCATGATGATTTAAAAAAAGAAAAGCAAAGGACTATTATTTGCAACAGCGCCCCCTTCTATTTCTGACCGCTATTCCAAATATGATAGCGGTGTGACGTCAGGCTGGTCCCGCCTCTTCCTGTTTTCAGCATGAATGAGGCAGGATTAACTGGTTCGGCTAAAACTCACTCATGTAATCATCAAACATTATCAAATGTAATATTTTACTGTTTTGACGTGAATTAATTTGAGTCCTAAAGTTTAATACAAAACATGAAAAATGAAGAATATTTTCTTCTTCCCAAACTTGACTTCAAATAAAGAGCCAAACTCATTGACATGTTTACTGGTGAGGAAACCAAAGACTCTTTAGGGCCCCCTGCTGGCCTGGAGGCCGGCTGTGATCCTCGGCACTCACCTGAATGTTATTATTTATTATTACAATTATTATAACTGAGAATCTGTTCAGGTTCAGGGATGAAGAAATGATGAAGAGGAGCATCACTCTCAGCTTTATTTTACAAACATGAGTCCGGTTCTGGTCCGATTCCAGGTCCGGACTGCGACCTGCCGACATGCTGCAGGACGACACGCTTTACAGAAGATTTGAATTGGATTTCACAGACTCAAACTGGTTCTACGTCAAACAGGAAGCAGGAAGTGGTTGTGCCGGAAGCCCGCCCCCTCACTGGCGTCGGTTCATGGTTCTGCTGGAGCGGCTCATCAGAACTCGCTCGAACAAGTCGTCTGAGGAGACAGACACAGTCAGGACCAGAATGAGTACCAGTACCAGGGCCATTAGCTGGAAAACCGTCTCTCACCGTTCCTGAACCTCCGGGAGTCGACCTGCAACAGAGGGCAAAGGTCAGACAGGATCCATCAACCGGTTTACTGGTTGGTTACTGGTTTCTTACTGGAGTTGCAGCCACCGGTCCGTCCGCCTGCTCCCGGTCCGCCTTCGGAGCTGCAACAGAGACAGGAGGTAAGAACCTCAGGAGGGGGCGGGGCTGTACCCCGAGGAGGGGGCGGGGCTGTACCCCGAGGAGGGGGCGGGGCTGTACCCCGAGGAGGGGGCGGGGCTGTACCCCGAGGAGGGGGCGGGGCTTACCCAGAGGTCTGATGATGGCGTTGACGGCGTGGATGACTCCGTTGGTGGCCATCAGGTCGGCGTCGGCCACAGGAACCTTGTTGACGTAGACGGTGAAGTTTCTCTGCAACAGACACACAGTCAGCACTGCCACAGGTCGCCCATTGGCCAATCAGGCACCGGCGGCGGCACTGACCACGCCCAGCTCCAGCTTGTCACCCTGCAGCGGCGCCAGGCGGGTGTGGGAGCTGATCCCCCCGCTCACCAGCAGCCCCTCCCCCAGGTGAAGCCGCAGGACGGCCGCCAGCTGATCGGCGTTTCCTGCAGAAACAGACAGCTGGTTGGCTGCTGGTCTCCACGGAGACCAGGAGGCCAAACATGCAGCGGCAGCAGCGCCCCCTGCATGCCGAGCAGGGAACTCACCTTTACTGTCCAATAATCAATCAGGTAATCAATGATGGATCTTCAGCTTTTGTCAAATGGACAAGTTTTTAACTTTCAGGCAATAAAATAGATTTTTCTATTGAAGAAGGAATTTGATCTTTTTATGAATTTATAAAATTGTATCAAGCCTTCAGGATGTGCCAATAATCGATTGACTTTTTCCTGACCCCAAAAAGGTTCTGATCCAGAATCAGAACCTTTTTGAACCACAACAAACCTGGTTCTGGACTAGAACCGGGTCAGAACCTGCAGACTCACTGAGCAGCTGGCTGAGCTCGGCCGGCGGCAGGGCCCTGAACGCCTCGTCGGTGGGCGCGAAGAAGGTGAGCGCCCCCTGCTGGTTGAGCAGCTCCGTCATGCCGGCCGTCTGGATGGCGCCGACCAGCTGGCTGGAAGAGGACGCACCGGGTCAGAGCGGGTCGGAACCGGAGCGGCCTGTTGTCCGACGCTCACCTGAAGCGCTCGTCGGCCTTCAGGACGTCCATCAGCGTCCCGGTGGGCGGAGCCAGAACCTTGTCCATCGTGAACATGGTGGCGAAGCGGCCGGTTCTGTCATGAGCCGCGATGCAGGCGTTCTCGATGCAGAGGTTCTGGAGAGGACGGACATCAGAACCACAACGTTAATGGTTCCGGTTTTATGTTTTAACAAGAATTTCGTTAAAGTTTTGTTTCTCGTTTTCACGACAAACTTTCAGGTGATATCAATCAGGTTCTCCAGCTGACGACCCCGTGACCTCTGACCCCGTTCTTACGTTCCTGTAGACGAAGACCCGCAGCGTGAGGCCGCCCAGCGTCTGCAGCTGCTGGCCGTGGTACAGCGCCTTGGAGGACAGCTGCTGCTTCAGCAGGTGGTTCTTCATCAGCACCCGGAGGTCAGGGGTCATCGTCACGCTTCCTGTTGGACGAGGTGGCGGAAAGCGGTCACCTTACCTGTTCACCAGGTGACCTGGTCAGGATCCGGTTGCCGCGTTACCTTTGAAGGCGTGGTTCTGCGGCGCCAGCATGGTCAGCGCCTCCGAACCCGTCAGGTGTGACGACAGGCCGGCGTCCACGAACAGCCTGGTCGCCGTGGAAACGGCCGAGTCCTCCGCCAGCTCCAGCAGAGTCTTAGCTGCAGGTAAAGCAGAGCTTCAGAACCGGACCAGAACCGGACCAGAACCCTGACAGCCCAACTATGATTGGTCATAAATTGATGAATATTTCAGAAACTTTTGCTTGTTATAATTTCACCAGATTAACAACACAAAGTTTAAACCTATGTTCCCTCTAAGCCGCTCGCATCTTCTCAGAAAATCTGCAGCACATAAAATAAAGTCCAGCATAAAGTGGACATTGAGCTCAGACATCAGTTTGGACCAATAACAGTTTTTCTGTACTTTGCATTGAAGTCAGTGAGTGACAGGAATCCAGCCAATGATACGATGCGGTTCAGTTTCGCTGCAGCCAATCATCACATGCTGTTTTGGGTTCATGTCTTGGTCATAGCGCCGTGGCACCGAGCAGGTGAGAATAGAGCAGCGGAGTTAAGAGACATTATCATGTCTCAGTGGGACGTCCACTCACCACAGTAAAAAAATAAATGCACCTCTAAGATCAAATGGTTGTTGGAGTTTATGCAACTAGAAGAACAGTAGAGTGGACAGAGGAGGGATCGTAGAGATTATTCTTGTTATTAGTAAGCTCTGTGATCACATTGATGCTCGTTTATCAGAGCATGAATTAAAGAATGGTCTGCATCTGATATTGAAGCACTGAGTTATGGATAAGCAGACATTTGTTCACTGGCACAGAAATATGAGGCCATTAATAGCAATGATTTCTTCTTTTTCATTTTAATTCAGAAAATCACTGAAATTAAAAGCAAACAAATGAAAATTGCTGATGTGATCTGACTCTTTTCATAAGCCATGCAACTTTCTATGATCTCAGGTTTATAATACTTGTTCGTGGCCACGCCCTCCGCCGTGTCCACTGATGATGCCCACAGTGGAACTCAGTGTGCTCAGACACATGAACACTTAGAGGGAACATTGCCTGCATCTGATCAATCAATAAAATCCTCCTTGGGGCCAGACGTGGCCCCAAGCTGAAAGTTTGGGCCTCCTGTCCTGAGTGAGTGTGTTCAGAACCAGAACCTGAGTCTGGGATGAGCAGCTGGCTGATGTAGTGGATGACGCCGTTGGTCCCAGCTGGTCCTTCTTGGTGACGACGGCGTTCCCGTTCAGGGTCATCTGGTCGCCGTCGCAGCCGACCTCCAGCGCCGCGCCCTGCAGCGTCTCCATGGACGTTCCCGACACGATGGACTCGGAGCAGTGCAGCTGCTTCAGGATGTGGTAGTTCAGCAGGTCTGGAGGTCAGCGAGAGGTCAGCGAGAGGTCAGCGAGAGGTCAGCGGCGCCCGGAGACGCCGGTATTACCATCAGGCACAGAGAAGGACACCTTTCAGAGCTACGGGGTCTCCGAGGATCCGGTTCAGGGTCTCCCGAGGAATCTTGGCAAAGGCGTCGTTGGTGGGAGCGAAGATGGTGTACTGACCCGGACTCTCCAGCAGGGTGCTCAGCCCCGCAGCAGCGAACGCCGCCTGCAAGCGGGGAGACAGGAAGTGATGTCAGAACGCCTGTTCATCATCACACCGGGAGTTCCCAGGGATTTACTCACGCGGAGCGTCTCCAGGTTGTCGTCGACGTCAACGATGGACTGCATGTCGCTGGACACGGCGGTGATGACGCGGTCGATGACGTGGACGATGCCGTTGGTGGCGTGCTGGTCGGGTTTGATGAGGCGGGCGCAGTTCACCGTCACGATCTGAGAGACGACAACCTGCCGGTCAGACCCACTGCAGACGGACCGCGACGGAGGAACCGTCTGCTGCAGCCGCTCAGACAGGAAGTGACATCATCATGTCACTTTGCATAGCTAATGTTCTTTTAGCACTTTTGCTAGTTAGCGTTTTAGCGCACTTAGCTTCATTAAGCTAATTCCTGCAGCTCTGTGTGGAAGTAGTAGTTTATATTCATGCTCTTATTTTGAAGTGTGTTTACCAGCTTTTCCATTTCCTGTGATTAACACAAGAAACATGCAGGGATAAAATGAAACAGGCAGTAAAGAGGAAAACAAACATGAAGGTTGAACTGAGCTGCAGCCTGAGGCCTGAACCTTTAAAGGTCAGAGATCATTGGAAGCTTTCACTATTAAACTTGACTTGAGACGTTTATGCATTAATTAAGAATAGTAAATTCTGTGAATTACGTTTTTGTTGCAGATGTTTGTAGAACATATAAAGTTCTGTGTTTAAGGTCACAATTTTCCATTCCAAATAAAACAGCTTTGATCTGTTCGAGTCATTTTCTCGTGTTTTGCAGCAGAAACTGTTTTCCATCTCTGTGGGTCGAGCCTAAAGCCTGGAGGCTCAACAGCTGCCAACTGAAACCAGGACAGAAAGTTCTGATCCAGAATCACTTCCTGCAGCTCCAACCACAGAACCGGCCAACGACACGTTTCAGCCTGCAGGGGGCGCTATGCTCTGCAGTAGGACATGTTATTGCCTGGAGGTGGACAGCAACATGATTGAAGTTTAGCATTAGCTTCTGCTAAATCCCATGTTAATGTTTGACTCATGCGTTAGCAGATTTGTGATTAGCGCTTTA